AGGTAGACTAACCTAACCCTCTTGAGTTACATTTATGATTCTCCATATTATTATTCAAACTTAATTACTCATGGTTCCTTCTAAAAATTGTACAATTGCAGGCACAGCCATTCCCAAAGGTTCTGTACTTGGGTATGTGATGGATCAGTTAACGAGTGATAAAGATGATATTTTCGTTAAATCCGATGGAGACAATAGTACGCCTGAGTCAAATTCGTGCCTCCCATTTCGACTCTGCATGGCTAATGTACTCATAAGCGCCTGCAAGAAGATTCCGGATAATGGAAAGAAACCCTTCACCAAAAAAACTCTTCCACGTGTTATCCGTGCTGTTGGGGTATGCCATATCCTAATCGTCACATTCAGCTTTTCAGGATAAGTAGAAAAGAGTCGTTTGCCCCTTAATGCCCAATTTTGTAATTTCAGGAGATGGTGGAGCCGGAGATTAGGGCAGCTTGCATGCAGGTTCTTTTCACGGTGGCATACCATTTAAAGTCTTTCATATATCCGTATTCGAATGATCTTCTTAGAGTCGTTCTCAAATCTCTTAAGGAAGGATCTCCAAAGGTAATTCCAAAATATATGTCTAAAAAAAAATACTATTCGAACTTAAGAACAGTATTTCATTGGGAATTTCCACTATAAGTTTGCGCAGCTGATAATACAAAAGCCAAAACTCAAGAAAGCATGCTAATTTTTTGGTGACTCGTCTTTTTATCCCTTTGTTCTTTTTTTTTTTTTTTTNAGGAGAAAATGTCAGCAGCAAGATTGCTGACATGTCTTATGGCTAGTGAAGAAGAGGTGGTTGAGAGCATAGCCAAAGGACTATTAGAAGCAAAATTGTTGCTTCACGAGCTATCGGCTAAGGATCCTTCACCAGATGTTCGGCATATGTGCAAGCAATTACTTACGTGCTTCACTTCTCATTAACTCAAACTTTTTACATGTGATGATTACTGAACTGAGCCTAAGAAAGAAGAGGGTTTAGACAAGTTCTATGCATAGTTGAAGAATATAGGAATTTTGCTTTGGTTCGAATCCAGTTCAAAGATAAGCTAATAATTTAGAAAACTATATGAATATATTTTTCGAGCTGAGTCGAGCTCAAATCGTTGTAAAAGATTGAATTTGGCTTGTTTATCAAACGAGCTGCTCGATTTGCCAACTGCCAAGCAATTTCCCGCCTTCAATGTCAAAGGCATCCAATATGTTTGGCGCTACAATTATGAGAACCCCAATTGCAATACAATTTTCGCCCTCTACAGTCATAGATGATAATATATTTAATCAAATTAATTTTCATAATAATTTTTTAAATTATGTCAATAAATTACTATTAAATTAATATAATATCTTATTGAAAATATATTCAATAAATCTACAGTCAAAATTTCAATTTAAGGCAATTTGTAGTTTAATGAGTAATAATCATTGAATGTATAGAAATTAATTATGTTTTTCATGCATAAGATTTGCTAATAAATTAATTTTAATTAAATGCCAAATATAGGTGAAAAAATTTTCTGCTCAAAATCATGCCAATTATGGCAATAAGGATTGGTCCATTATATAGATATAGATATAGATATATATTTGTCATCTAACAATATATTTTATGCAAAGATCAATACAAAAGCGTTTTATAATAGTAAGTTGTGATGCTAGCAATTTTTACATATCAAATGAGTAATTAATTACTAAATAATTATGCATAATTAGCGAATTCATCCACGTATTAAAAAATAATTCAATTAGTTGTATACCATCGAAACTTCTATTTACTATGAAAAATGATTCAGTCAACTATATGCTATTATATCTACTGTCAACAGACAACAATCAATTATCAGCTAATTGTTAAATGCTTGCATAGATTTTTAATTGTTTTATAAAATTCATTAAATAGAAAACCATAGTGTATAATGTTCTATCACAAAAGACGTGTAATTAGTTGGTGTGGTTTGTTAACCCGTGAAGAAATTAATGCCTCTAAATGAAAACGGTTGCAAATTAATAACGATCTGGTTGAAAAATTATGGACATGTGTAGGTGCATCTAATTCCTACCACATGATTTTTCCTAAGATAGTCTACAATAATACTCGATCAAGTGTACGTGCATATATAATACAATCGAAATACTATATGCTATATGTATGTATATATTATTTAAAAATATAAATTAGATAATGGGTATATCAAAGTTTAAAATTTGATTATAGTAAAAATAAACAATATTAGTAAAAATTATGACTATGTATGAATTACTATATTAATGGTATAAACAGTAAATCATAATGAGATTTTTATATTTTTTAGGGATCGTGATTAATTAAGTTGTTGAAATTTCTTAAAAAATTATTTTTATTATTGTTATAAAAATTGTTTATGTGATTTTAGGGAGTTTGATTATGTCACTAAAATCAATTAGATTATTTTAAAGAAAAATTGCTTAATGAGATGAAAAAATAATATTGGATGGAAAATAATATTTGAAGCAAAAGTATTGCAATAGAATTTTTGTAAGTATGTGACTTTCGTATCAGTTAATGTAAAATTATAATTAGCTACTGTTAGTAGTAAATATTATATAACAAAATATCAGAATATATTATGACACATTAATGTGAAAAATATCATGAAGAAAAAAGTATTGTGGTAGATTTTTTTGTATGTATGTAACTTTCATATAACATTTAATGTGAATTATATTAGCTAGTATTGGTTGTAACTATTATATAATAAACTATTAAAAAATATTATTACACATTAATGTAAAATGTAACAATTTCTTCTACAATTAATCGAAAAAAAGGGCGGAATTTTTTTTTATTGCATTAATTGGATTGCCTACAATTATATATACATAATTTGATATTAATTTACCATTCAATTTTGTTCCAAAATTTTATAACTGTCAAATCCCAAAACTTTTTAATAATTTAATATAATTTCAAAATGTAACATTTAAATTATTAATAAATTAATTAAATTTGTTTTTCTCTCTAGCACCTTTTTAAATGGTATCATAAAAAATATGCTATTTGACGGCTAAGTCACAATTTTTGCTTTGTTTTGAAATTTAGGGGACGATTGTTTATAATTTCTACAGTAAAAAAACCAATCAAAACTCAAATTTAACTCAACTTCAACCAAACTCCACTTCTTATATATTGTCAATATAATTAAATAATATCAACCAATCATTCTTACACATCACATCAACTTTAATTTAATATTCACCACTCACATAATTATAACTAACTATCACTTCCAATCATTTTTCTCATACTTTACATCAAATTAACTTTAATTATTTTATTTAAATATTATTTTAATATATCCACTAACAACTAACCATACCACTTTTTTTTCAAAATTAACCATAGTTAAAAAACAAATCAAATAAAAACTAGTTGAATCCATAACAATCACCCCCTTAGTTATAACATTTTGGTTTCGATAGTAAAAGACACAACCTTTCGATCATTTGCAAATCCAAACAAGTAGTCTACAGACTGACTCTCAAAGGCTTACATTTGTTGTCTCGTTATCAAACGTAGAGAGAAAAATAACATCATGTAAAGATTAAGAAGTACGGGAAACACCTCGTCTTACACAAAAATTGAGGCTATTGAAAATTTAAGTTTGTAATATTTTGATAAAATTGAAAATTTGTAAGCTCCTAACTTGTACGCCTTAATCGCTAGTATATGTCAATATATTTAAATATCACATCATATTGGAATTTGGATTGTATACAGTTAAAAACAGTTGATATTTAAAGTTTGGGATGTGAGGATAAAACCTAAGTCGCAACATTAATTTTACTTTTACTTTTTACATTTCTTACACAATCGTCTGTCTCCTTTTAAAATCTGTTTCTAGATTTTCATACACTTGTTTCATAATATGAACACTAGATAATGATTTGTATACATAAACATCCAATATGTGATTTGTTAATTACATGATTCCATTGGTAAGAAATCTAAAGTTGATGACTTTTATGCCAAATCCCAAAAAAAGAAAAGGTGAGACTGAATTGAAATAATTCAAATGTTAGGTTTTCATTCACAATTTAACCTAAAAGATAAAATAGAAATTGTCATTTGACCGGTTTCCCTTCATCACGCTGTTCCTGTGTTGTACGGTACAACCCTGGTTTACCCACCATGGGCCCCACCATACCCTTCCTCACCCCCTCTGTTCCACCATTAATGTGCTCTCAATATGTTCTCTTCGTAGAGTATTAAACAAACGATTCATTTTTAGCATAATTCGGTAGAGCTGCTGCGATTGAGATTGTGCTTGCAGAAGCCTTGAAAGGCGAAATTAAACACACCAATTAATGGCTGCTTGTGGATTTTATCGTCATGGGTTTCTGAATTGAAATCTGGATATCGCCTCTGCACATTTTCCCAGATTTTTTTTGGCCCCCATTTATTGCAGCAGCTCGATTCTCATTTTCTCCGCTTAAAATCTAGCAGCTGTTGTCTGGAGGACACATACACTCTGCTATGGCAAGTGCAGCGGCGATGGTGATTGTACCGTTGGGCGTGCTGTTCTTTATATCTGGACTCGTCGTTAATTTTATCCAGGTTACTGTGTTGTTGCTCATACATACGTTTTTTTAGTTTATTTGTTTGGTTAGTGAAGATTTGGCTTCTGAGTTGTTGATTTGGGTATGGACTGAGCTTGGTAATGGCTTTGGTATCAGTGTGTTTTGACATTTTGTACTGGGTTTTGCTCCATCGGTGATGTTTCCATACTTAGCTAATTGTTATTGAGTGCCGAATCTAGTTTCTAGTTATTGTAGGTTGAAATGCATTTTGCATAAAGAAACGAGAAAGTGAATGTGAATTTTTGGGAATTTTCAGGCCGTGTGTTTTCTGCTGATAAGGCCGTTTTCAAAGAGCACATATAGGAGGATAAACAGGGAGGTGACCGAACTTTTGTGGCTGGAGCTCGTGTGGCTTGTCGATTGGTGGGCTGGTGTGAAGGTGAAAGTTTGCTGAATTAGTTTTGTATTGTTACAAGTTGTTAGCTAGCATGGCAATTTAGTGGACAAGTTTCATCTTGAATTGTTTAATCTTCCAGTCTTTGTACTGATGAAATACTGAAATTAACTAAAAGAATGGCTTTAGTAACATATAACCAACCTACTTTGTGAGATTCTAGCCTGTTAACTGTGAGAACATATAAAAAATCTCAAGTATTTTTGTTACTGTCCAGAGGAAAGGGTGATAGAATCAGGACGGTACTTTTGAACTCATCATTTTTCATGTTAATCATTCATCTCATATAGTCATATTATACTGAAAATTTATTTGCAGATTGAATTGTTTGGTGACTCTGAAGCCTTTAAATTAATGGGTAAGGCCCCAAAAGTTGGTTACAAACTTGTCGTTAATTTTTCAGTCTTACTGGAGTTGTTTATTTCATTATGCTGGTATCTTGCCCAGGTAAAGAACATGCACTTGTCATATGTAACCACAAAAGTGACATTGATTGGCTCGTCGGATGGATTTTGGCTCAGGTTTGTTACACGGCTGATGCTTCATTCAAATTTTTATTTAGTGGCTATTCTATTTCAACCTTTATACGAAGCATATTCTTGTAACTTTTGGGGCTTTCTTATTGGCAGAGATCGGGTTGCCTTGGTAGCTCGTTAGCTGTTATGAAGAAATCATCAAAATTTCTTCCTGTAAGTAGCAAATATTTTCTTGCCATGGTACCTGACGGTGATTGGATGGTCAATGTGGTTTTCCAAATATTTATTTTCTTTATTTTCATATATGCTAATGGGAGCATACAATAACACATAGCAAACATACTGTAAACTCCATTAATTCGCTCTATGAAGGTGATTGGATGGTCCATGTGGTTTTCTGAATATCTCTTTCTCGAAAGAAACTGGGCAAAAGATGAAAGCACCTTGAAGGTAATGAGTGATAAACTTGTTACCATTTACTATTCCGAACATTCTCAAAGTTTTCTTTTGTTTTTTATTGGTGAATGATAACTAATTCATTTAATGTCTATTGCAGTCAGGACTTCAACGGCTAAGGGATTTCCCTCGACCATTTTGGCTGGCGCTTTTCGTCGAGGGTACTCGTTTTACGCAGGCAAAACTTTTAGCTGCTCAGGAATATGCATCCTCAACGGGGTTACCTGTTCCAAGGAATGTTTTGATTCCTCGTACTAAGGTTCCATTCTTTGCTCTTCTGAAGATCTATTTTTATCGAGAGCTTTTTTGTTGTCGATAACTTGAGAAACTTGACATTTATTTCCATTAATATATGTGCTGCCTAGTTCTGGTGCTCTGTAAATGCCTTTCTGAAAAGGTTTTGTAATAAACTGTCCTGCCTACAAACCACTCGGCATTTTTTTCTTAAGTTTAGTGTCTTTTTATCAGTTAATTAACAAACATTATATTTATCAAGTAATACTTGTAAAGTGGAAAAAGGTACTCACTTCTGAGTGTGAATTTGCAATTTTCAGGGTTTTGTTACTGCAGTAAGTCAAATGCGCCCATTTGTTCCTGCTGTGTATGATTTTACCATTGCTATTCCCAAAACGTCTCCTGCGCCTACCATACTACGGATCTTTAATGGCCAATCTTCTGTGGTAATCTTCAAAATCTTATTAATCAGTATTTTGTTGATGTCTGTATTTGCTGGTAAATATCTGTGAACTAGGTGATGATCGATGCAGTTTCAAATGGCTGACCATTTATTACTTAGGCACGCTCCTTTCTATATTGAAATACGTGGGATATGGCTTTAAAACTAAATTTTAAATTTGAAAAAGACTAAATAAAACTAAATAAATAAAATGGTATAAAGAAGTTAAGAACCCTAAAACAACTGAAAAGTATTTGCAATTTCGAGTTTGCTTGTTACTTGTAAATTGTAATTAAGCTAAACCCCATAGGTTTTTATGCTGATTAAATTTAATATGTAGTTCTTTTACTCACATATTAATAAATTTGATACTGCTTAGGTGCATATCCACCTTAAGAGACACTTAATGAAGGATTTGCCGGAATCAGATGATGCAGTTGCTAAGTGGTGTAAGGATGCGTTTGTTGCCAAGGTGTGCCATATATTTTCGTCATTTATTTAAGCTCGTTTACTTTTTTTTTTTTTAAATTATCCAATTACCGTCTAGATTTACAACTGTATGTACCAACCAGGACAAATTATTAGACAAGCACAATGCTGAGAATTCTTTTGGCGAGGAACGGCAGAACACTGGTCGGCCTGTGAAGTCCCTTCTGGTAAATTACTATATTTGTTTCTTATGGTGTGTTTTGTTTATTAGAAAGCTCAATCCATACTAAAAAATTTAACTCAAAATTTAACCTAACTCCACTATCCTCAATATTATTATATTATAATTAAATAATATCAATCAATCATTTTTACACATCACATCGACTTTGATTCACTATTCATCCACACACATAATTTTAACTAACCATTACTTCACATAATCTCTCTATTTTATTTTTACCTCAAATCAATTTTTATTATTTATTTAAAATATAATTTTAATATAAACTCAAAATCCCACTAACAAATAACCATATCAACTTTTTCAAAATTAACCCTAGTTAACCAAAAAAACTCGTTTTGAACAGATATATTTGTATTGCATAAACCACTCTGAAGTTTGACCTGATTACCTAAGGAAATACATAAATCAATGAAATTCGAAATATCTTTCACAATGACGAAAACTCCTTCGGGATTCGTATATGCTCAACATATACCCCTTAGATAGTGCATGCAATTTGTACAACCGAAGCACGTACCACAGTATTTATGTATTTTAAAAGATAACTATAGGCTAGCCCTTGAGAGTATTTTTTTTTTTTTTTGTTTTTTCTCCATTTTTCCTTTCGAAAAAATCTTGAACCCCAACTGTTTGAAATGAACAGGTTGTATGTTCTTGGGCAATTCTGCTGGTTTTGGCTGTGATGAAAGTTATCCAGCATTTCTCGATTTTCTCCTCGTGGAAAGGGGTCGCCTTTTCAGCCATTGTTTTGGTAGTCGTCACTTTCCTCATGCAAATCTTGATTCAATTCTCGCAGTCCGAGCGTTCGACTCCAGCCAAGGTGGCGCCTTCGAAACCTAGGAATGGTGTGGGCCCACCTGAGACCGCGCAAGATCAACAGCAGTAGGTCGCGAACTGTATTCTTAGGTAACAGCAATGGGAATCAGTTGGCTTTGTTTGTCCGTTCGTATCAGTTCAATTTTTGGTTGATGCTATTTGAGTATCGTTGTTAGTGACCTGTGATGTTCGTTTGTATCGGGACTTTACGGACAATGATGTATGCAATTCCCTTGTATTGAGAAAGAATTGGACTGTCGATTCGGGGTGTCGATTGGATATAGTTTCATTGGTATTTTTTATTTTTTTTTTTTGGCCCGAGAAATGTTTTCTGATGGTAGGATATAGCTTCATTGGTATTTTTTATTTTTTACGGACTGTCGAGTGGATGTTTTTGAATCCTTCAACACCAGTCGGTTGGACTGGTAGGATCGATTTTCTAAATAAATTTTGTTATATTTAAAATTATTTTAAATAAAATTACATATTTAAATAAAATAGAGATTTATAAATTATTTATCAATTAGTTTAAACATTTGAATTTATAAATTGTTTAGATATCTAAGTAACACATTTTATTTAAATTTATTACAAAAAGTACTATATATATATATATTAAAATGTTTATAAATTAAAATATAAACAAACCACAAGTGATTTAATAAAATAATTTGATCGTTTTGATGACGGTCCAGTTCTGAAAACCTTATATTTACTGTATATTGATAAATATTATAATAAAATATTATTTAACTCACATAAATATTAATAAAATGATATCTAAATATTCATAAAATCATTAAACATGTCGTAATAAAAGTATTGTTAATACAATTATTTGAAGTTTGGACTACATCACATTCACGTAATAAAATATTTTTAATATAAAATTTATATTTAGGTTCAATAATCGATTTTGTGTGGTCGAACAAATACATAACTTAGTCACCTGGGACCAACCAAGTTGTGTCAAGTTTTTTTGACTATTTTAAATATCACCTAAAAGTAATTCAATCAACCTGGGCAGTACTCTAGTTCAATCACCCGATTGATCCGAAGAAATTTTCTTATTTTCTTTACATATTTTTAATTTTATGAAATAAAAATATTTTATGATTCATATAATAAATGTCTACACCAAATGATAGTATAGTAAGATTATAAATTATACATCTAAAGATGAATAAATAATTATTACTTTATGCATATTAATACAAAATAAACATAATAATTTTCAAAAAATTAAGATTAATTGATTGATTATTCAATTTAAAGAATATTTTTAGCGTTCAATATTTTTTTAAAGGCACAAATATAAAGATCGAGATTCTAAAATTTTTGTTATATTTTGAATTGAGATTTTATAATATAAAAACCGAGATTTTAATGTTGTTCATTATTTCTAAGAAAAAAATAAAAATAAAAACTTACACACTTAATAAATCTTTGCCGAATTTTTTAAATAATAAAATGAATTAAAGCCCAAAATTTAAGGTAGCATTTAATGTTGTATGATTTTTAAATATAAAAATAAGAAAAATAATGAAACTTACTATTTATAGGCTGCATTAAATTTTGACCTATTTTTTTGCTACTATTTTTGGTAGATGTTAATTCTTATTATATATATATAGATATGTATAGGGTTGGGGCTGCAAATGAGCCGAGCCCAGTCGAACATTGACCTTATCGAGCAAGATTGATTTTTTTTTTTTCATAGCAGCTCGAGCTCGAGCTCGACTTGAAATCAAAATGCTCGAGCTCGGTTCGAAAATTTTTAAGTGGAAAAATAAAATTACCATTAAGCACATACGCTATACTATTGTAATTTATATTGAAGGAATATTTTAGTAATTTAACATATATATCGAGCTGCTCGACAATGAAAAATATGAGCTCGAATCGAGCGTTCGTGAGCTGCTCGGTTTGTTTGTAGCCCTAGATATGTATAAAGGGTGAAGATGAATTATGATTTGATAATTGATAGAGAAATATTGAAATAAAAAAATTGATATTTCTACAATACAATACGTAGGTGATTGACAATTTTTTCTTTTATAGATACATTATAATAATGAATACTAGTACAATTCCCGTGTATTACACGGGTATTGAAAACTTTTATAAACAATATTAAATTTTTTATTTTTTTAAAAACTAAAATAATTTAATTTTATATAAAACATTACTTTGAGTTTTGATTAAACTGTCAAATTATATTTTTTTAATTATAATAATTAAACATCCGTACATTAAATGAAAATGTCAACCCGTGTTGAATTTTTTTACTTATATCATATAAAAATATCGATATTATTTAATGACACATGTTTCGTAGTCTTTATAAGTTGTGATTTAGATGTGGTAAGCTTGGTCATTCTCTTGTTTATATAGACACAAGCATTAAAATATGATTCATGAAATCAGGCAAATTGTGGAAATTGAAGATATAACGCGTAAGATAAAAGCCCATACTTTGGAAGGAATATATTATTATGATAAATAGGTTCCTAATTTTAAGACATCAAGCTCCACATGGTAACTACTTTGGATATATTCCCTAATGTTTTATATTTTAATAATTAGAGAATATATTATTTTGATAAAAAATATTAATTTATATCCAAGCCTAACTTCAAACCATAATATATTGCCAAATAAGATTCCAAAGTATAAGAATTTGCCACGTAGGCTCAACGCATTCTGAAATTATATATAGAGGGGATTTATTTAGAAAATATATTGAGAAAATGAAGAGAAAAATAGTAACACACCATTTTTGTTCCTTACCTTTTTTTGGTAGATCGTCCCTTGTCAGTAGTTACCATATTCAAATTCAATTAACAATTATACTTACTTTTATATCCAAATATCATATTTTAAATACAATATAAATAAAAATATGATATTTTATAATATTATAATGCATCTTTTGTAAAAAAAAAAAATACAAATGTATTGTATTTTAAATACAATAAGTTCTTTTAAAGCTATTGAAACTTGTTTTAGGCTTCTTTTGCCATAGTAATGAACCACCAGCATCACAACCTCTATGATTTCACTTCGCTTCTAAAAATGTAATTGACCTCTTCTTTTGCGTCGAGTCAATTGCACCAATTCGTCGACTTCACTTCACTTTGTTCGATGCATTGACCTATGGTCGGTACTCACTTTGCTCTCCTAAATGTATAAGGCTTTTATAATATAATAATATATTTTTTGTAAAAAAAATACAAATATCTAATGATTAGACAGTCTAACAACAACATATCTATTTTTCTTGTAGGGAAAAATGTAACTAAACTAAAAGAATTGAATAAGGAATTGGTATTTTTTTTCATCCCCTCAATTTCACTGTTTGCCTTTTTGGTACCATATGAATATGATGATATGAATATGATACTTTAGTCTTTACCAGTATAAAGTGCAAATTCATGAACTTCAGGGGCAATATTACAATTAATATGCATTCTCATATATCAGCCCGCCAAACTTTCCTTCCCCATGCTCAAACTCGCGGCAGCCCTAATTTTCACGGAGTGTGTGAAAAAACAATTTTCAGAGCTCTCTTTTTCGTGCATATATTCACATATTTGCAGGGCAAAAGCACAGGACAATGAGCCATAACTTCAAAATTCCGGTGAAGCTTCTTCACGAGGCGTCGGGCCACGTGGTGACGGTGGAGATGAAGAGCGGCGAGATGTATCGTGGGAGCATGATTGAGTGCGAGGATAACTGGAATTGCCAGCTTGAAAACATCACTTACACTGCTAAGGTACTTCTAGCCATCGAATCCTGTTATCCGCATTAGTAATATTTGTATTCCTTTATTTGATTTTTCTCTCAGTTAAACCCTAGATAGATTGGTTGACCCCATAGGTCGGAGATGGGAATTAGGTATAGTGTGATGTTATGACGATGGTTCTGTGTTTTTTCTTTAATTTGAAAATTTTCTAGAAATGTCTGCTAAATCATGGTTAGACGTTGAAACCTGAAACTGGGCACTGTTTTTTGCTGCCCTTGCTGGCTTCTGAGATTGTGAGTTTCAGTTTTATAATTTCCATGTAAGTAAGTTTTTGCTGTTTATAATTGAATGTTTCAAAGGGGCAGTCCAAGTTGTGAAGTCTTTTCTTAGGATTGTAATTTGTAGGTGTTAGTATAAATTTGTAGTTTTATCGTTGAGCTATAGTACATGTTCGTCGAACCCCAGACACAGGATGCCGAATGAGAAAACCTACTTTCGCTGTTGTGATTATTTAAATTATACAACTTATTGTTTCTCTAATGTGTGGCTGAGTTTCATTGAATGCGTTGAGTATAATCACATTAAAAGATAGTCTTTATCTTTTATTTATTTGTTTTTCTGTTTGAAATAAATTTCATTGCATGACATTAGCCTAAGTGTTCTATTTAGTAATTATTCATTCTTGGGTGAACCAGTGATCAATGTAATTTCTCAGGATCCAAGTGTATCCTACATTTGAGCCCTACGGGAAGAAATTATAAGAGAATGTGTGTAACTTCAGTTTTCCTTCCTAAAAAGTGTTGGAAAAAATATCAAACTGCTTCTTGTATCACAGTTGTCAGTTTGCTCGGCATGAGAGCAAATGCTCATGTCAGATCCTGTTAAAGTTCCTTATTGTATGTTGTAACTGTAATTCAATCTCTAACTGTTTTTTCAGCAGATATTTTTGACCAAGCTTCCATGCCCTTAGAATTTGTAGTCTCCATTATACTTGTCTGCTTGTCGATTGAATCTAACCTAATGGCATCTCATGTCTTTAGTTACACTGAAAGAAATATATTTAATGTTGATAAGATTAAGCATGTTATCGCATGCTTGAACTTTTTCATTCCATTTTTTCCTAGCCAATGAACGTCTAATGTGATCAACAATATTGCAGGATGGGAAGGTCTCACAGCTCGAGCATGTTTTCATCAGAGGCTGCAAAGTAAGGTAGGTTCTCATTTTCTATCCCCCTTTTGCATCAATTTTATTTTGATTGTTATTCATGCCAAAGCTTTTGTCAGGTTCATGGTTATTCCTGATATGCTAAAGAATGCTCCAATTTTCAAGCGCTTGGAAGCTAAGATCAAGGTACCATTCAGACGCTCCACATTTATTCATTTTAGCATTACCTAATACCTATCACAATTCGGTTATTCATTTTTGTTTCCATCTCTAAAGGGCAAAGGTTCGGCAATTGGAGTTGGACGTGGGCGTGCTGTTGGTATGCGAGCAAGAGTAAGTCTTTCTTCTTTTGCTAAACACCATTTTTGGGTGTGATTTTTGTGCTTGAATGGGTTATTTGTAGATTTGGTTAGATGTATGGAATTTTCACAAACCTTTAAAAAAAGGGAGTGTGTTTTTTTATTTTATCTCCATTTCATTTCCTGGTCTGGCTTTTGCAGACTATTAATCATCCATGCTACTTGCTCATTGCTCAAAACAAGCGCCCTTTTGAATTTTAAGTAATTTTTGCTTATCTCTTTGCAAATGTTCCAGCTTTCGATTCTCAACTACTTTTTGCTTGTGCTACAATGAACATCTATAAAAGGCCTTATTTTCTTTCAGCATGATGGATAATCTCGATCTGATTTCTTTAATTTTGTTGGCAGGCTCAATCGGCTGGCCGTGGAGCTCCTCGTGCTGGAAGAGGTGCTGTGCCACCTGTCAGGCGGTGATCTTGTCGACATAGTTAGCTTTCCTGTGTGGTCTGAGATAAATGACTTTCTCCAAGCATCTAATCGAGTTTTGAGATACCCGAAAGTGATTTTTTCTGCTGCAACTGAAACTAGTATTATCTGTAGCCCTATAGTATGTGGAAGATTGCATTTACGAATTGGTACTGAATTTGTTTTGAAAATGGATGTTATTGATAATCAGTGAACGAAAGTTTTAACCGAATTGACTGTATTTCAGTTTATTGGTTACATGCTTCCAAATAAATACTTTCAATGCTTACACATTAAACTGAAGAGAGATTACAACCAAAAAATGGAAAAACAGCTGAATATTTGGATCCTACAATTGTTTTCAGGAAGATAAGAAACCACCCAAAAGAGTATAAGCACGAGCAGTCGACTTATGTATACAAACGAGTTTGAGTCGAGTATAGCATATGCCTTCACGAGCTGAGCTCGATTTTTCCACTATTGGTCAAGCTCAATAGCTCGACTTTTTATGGCTCGACTTGTCGAAACAAAACTATGCTAATGATAGAGGTCAGATTAAATTTCATTAGCTCAAATTTCTTCGAGCCCGGTCAAATTAGAACCAATAACCGACTCTCGGCACCCGAGCTTGTTACCGGACCTTGCAATCCACCGGATGAGCTGGCACGGTATCTGAGTCGTCTTCACCTCAGCCACCAAGTTTATTGTTGAGACAGCCAGCTATATTGGGTCGTTGACCCATTATTTGGAGACCCGTCTTCTGAAAATCAGGCCGTGCTTGGGCTTGCTAGTCGGGATGAGTTTGAACCCAATCAGAATACATTTGAACCCAAACCGAAATGATGGGCCTTGAGCCCATTAGACGGCCCATAGTACACACACCTTCCGATGCACCTCACCACACACTAACACCACTCCACCTCCGTCAAAAAACCCTGAACCCTAATATCATTTGCAACCCTCCGCCTCTAAATAAAGTCTCATTCTCCATTTCCCACACAGTAAAACCACAAAAAAACCACCACCGAACTCCCGCCGCAGCCACCGCCACCATGGCTGAACTTCAAGCATCCCACCCCGAGAAGACGAAGAAGAAGAAAAGCAAGTCCAAGGACGAGCTGGAGGAAAAACCCCAAAACGACGCCGTCGACTACCTGATAAAGCCGCAGAGCTACACCCCCACCATCGACACCTCCCAGTGGCCGATCCTCCTCAAGAACTACGACAAGCTCAATGTACGAACCGGACACTACACCCCTCTCCCCTCCGGTTACTCCCCTCTGAAGCGCCCACTCGCCGAGTACATCAAGTACGGCATCCTCAACCTCGACAAGCCCGCGAACCCCTCCTCCCACGAGGTCGTCGCCTGGATCAAGCGTATCCTCCGGGTCGAGAAAACCGGGCACTCGGGCACTCTTGACCCGAAAGTCACCGGGAACCTGATCGTCTGCATTGATCGGGCCACCCGCCTGGTGAAGTCCCAGCAGGGGGCCGGGAAAGAGTACGTCTGCGTGGCCAGGCTCCACTCGAAGGTTCCGGAGGTCTCGAAGGTTGCCCGAGCTCTCGAAACTCTAACAGGTGCGGTTTTCCAGCGTCCTCCTTTGATTTCAGCTGTCAAGAGGCAGCTTAGGATTAGAACTATTTACGAAAGCAAGCTGCTTGAGTACGATGTCGATAGGCACTTGGTCGTTTTCTGGATTTCTTGTGAGGCAGGGACCTATGTGAGGACTCTGTGTGTGCATTTGGGGCTTTTGTTGGGTGTGGGAGGGCATATGCAGGAGCTGAGGAGGGTTCGTTCGGGTATTCTGGGGGAGAAGGACAATATGGTCACTATGCATGATGTGATGGATGGGCAGTGGGTATATGATAACTACAGGGACGAGACATATCTGAGGAGGGTGATTATGCCTTTGGAAGTTCTATTGACCAGTTATAAGAGGCTCGTGGTGAAAGATTCTGCAGTTAATGCCATTTGTTACGGTGCAAAGCTGATGATTCCTGGTTTATTGAGGTTTGAGAATGATATAGAAGTTGGTGAGGAAGTTGTGTTGATGACGACAAAGGGTGAGGCAATCGCGCTCGGAATTGCCGAGATGACGACAGCTGTCATGGCCACATGTGATCACGGGACGGTGGCTAAGATCAAGAGAGTCGTGATGGATAGGGACACGTATCCCCGGAAATGGGGGTTGGGCCCGCGGGCTTCTATGAAAAAGAAGATGATTGCTGAGGGGAAATTGGATAAGCACGGGAAGCCGAATGAGAGCACACCTGCTGAGTGGCTGAGGAATGTGGTTTTGCCGAGCGGAGGGGATTCGGTGGTGGCGGGCCTAGCGGCTTCCGGTGTGGAGCCTCAGCCGGCCTCTGAGGATGGTGATGTGAAGAAAAAGAAGAAGAGTGAGGAAGAAGGGGGTGATGAGGGGCGTAAGCGTAAATTGGACAATGTGGATATCGGTAGTCCTTTGACCGAGAGTGCTGTTAAGAAGGTTAAAGTGGAAAGTGAGGAGGTTAAGGTTAAGGATAAGGCCGAGGATGTGGAGTTTGAGGAATCTGGGAAAAAAGAGAAGAAAAAGAAGAAGAAGAAGAACAAAGAGGGTACTGATGAAGGTGAGGTGGTGTCTGATGGTGAGAAATCTAAGAAGGATAAAAAGAAAGATGAGAGTGTTGTGGCATCTGATGAGGAGAAATCCGAAAAGAAGAAGAAGAAGAAGAAGAAGAGTAAGAAGGATAAGAAGGCGGAAAATGGGGACTCGAGTGTCGGGCCTGATGCTGACGATGATGGAGCAAGCAAAAGTGAGAAGAAGAAGGAGAAGAAGAAAAAGAAGCAAAAAGAAGATACTGAGCAGGAGTGAGGATATAAAGGCCTGGGGTTCTTTAGTGTAGAAGCGGCATGTGATTTTGATATCGATGTGTTATCTGAACACAATGTGGCCTCTATGAAGTGTTTCTCTCTGTTTGAGAGGAACGTTCATTCATCTGGCTTGGCTTTACTTGAGAGTTTGATCGTGAACTTGGTTTAGCAGCATGTCACTCTTGATGGTTTCTTATTTTTAACTTTTGGTTTTCGTTTTTTCGTAATGTTTATGTACTTTATCATCCGAATTTCTTTCGTTAGACTTCGATAGTAATCTTATCTTGTCATATGTTATATTTACGTGTTTTTTATGGTTTTGGGCCTTTTCGGTTTATTTTATGGCAATATACTGTTGCTATGTCCTCCATTTGTGATGTGTTGGTGCAAAGCTTGATTTCAGGATGAAAGCGTAGATCTCAGCTTGATACTTATCTCCCTCTTTGAGACTGAAAAATGGTTTTAATTCTCAATTCTGTCCTTGTTAGGAATAGGTGATAAATATCCATTGCACCTCATATAGTTGTTATGCCTTGTTGGCCAGTAGCATGCTTCACTTTTTATGAATTGCATGTATGAATGATGTAACCTTTTTTATGATGTATGAATGATGAAACACTGTAGGGCATACTAAATTAAGGGCTTAAAAACTATAAATCTTAGGGAATTTGAGCATCTTGACTTATTTTGCAAGGGAAAAACAACTACATCTGGTGGAGTTTAACCATCTTCAAATGAGGGAAAGAAGAGAGAGAGTTGGACCAAGTACGGCAAATAGACTCATCTTTTGACTTTTAATTCTGAATTCAAATAAATAGGAAAAGGAAAAAAAAGAGAAAACATTGGACCAAGTAACATAACATTTGGGGTTTAAATGGCTTTATTTCACAGGTGGAATACTTGTTCTCGGCATCAACTTCACATTGTGAAATTGTAATATACAGGATTATGCCTCGCACCTTCTGTTACATATTCGCACTTAACTATTAGCTTCAACTTCTCACTGAGAAATTATAACATACAGGATTGTCTCACTTTTCGTTATATATTGGTTATTGCTACATATGTATAGTTATTTTCGAAACTTTATGTTATCATGATTGTTGATAGGAAAAGTCGTACCAACACTCAAATATTATTCGAATTTTTTATATTTATGAAGAACAAAATGATAAAGGATGAAACTCATTTTTCATTGATAATTATGAATAAAATAATGATGAATAATGATGAATAAAATAATACAAATAATATTTTAATGTAACATGACCGTGTGGGACCCAATTACAATGCTTGACGGTTTCGATAGACGTCTGTCTTGTCAGTAATGTGCGTCCTCTGAAGGCGGCTTCTTTATGGTATCCGGGTCGGCCGATCATTTTAAATTCTGCTCGGCTCGGAAGTGGACAATCTTGACATTTGAGGACTTGGTCGATATTAGTTGATCAGCTCGGAGAACCTGCTATTTTGTATATCTATTTATTACGTATTTTAACCCCCGTTCGTTTTGCCACATGCCGCTCTTTGAACGATGGCAGCCAAATTAGATATCAACAATGAAATTTTACCAATCCTCTAACCAAATATTTTTTTTTTTTTTTTACAAAATCAACTACTTCACAAAATTTGACAAGTCAAATTTTTTTAACATAAATCCACTAACAACCAACCAAGTCTATCGTATCCATTGACCCAAATCCAATTGATGTGCCAAAACTTGGATTCGAGTTGAACTAGCTACTCCAAAGCTTCGAGTCGTTTGAAAACAGCTGATTACTTGCCAAACAACGGCCAGGAAGAGCTCCCAACGTGCACTCAAGTCAATGATCGAAAAGAAGAAGAAGATGATGAATGTATCTAAAGAATTCTAAAGAGTAGAGAGTATTTCGGTTGTACCTTATACCCTTTTATAGGATAATACCATAGTGCCCAAGATTAGATGCTTGGGTTGCCCAGCTGCCCCCGATCACTCTGCTCGGAGCTTCTCAATTGCTTGAGGTTAATCTTTATCTACTTTGTGTTCATCTCTAACTTAATTAGATTCCTCATTATCCTAATTAAATTCCTCCTTATATTGATTAGGTTTGTACTTACTCATGTCTCCATATCCACATGTTCTTCACTTAGCTCGTAGGGTAGATGCATGTAGGGCACAATTCCACAGGTCGTCCTACTAAGTGTTGGTAGGTCTTCAAGTATTTCAGGCTAGGTATGTTCTAACTGGTTTATCTTCTCTAAATAAAGTAAGTCGTTTGCTATGACGCCGAGGTAAGTGCCTTAGTTGATTATCACCATATCCCTTCAACTTTCTTGCTCTAGTCAATTAGGTCTTTGAACGACCTGTTTAGCAGGTGACCTATCTAATACTTAAGACAGTCGACCTACTTCTTCAATTACATTTTGATTGAGTTTTTGATATTTAGAAAAAGGAAGAAAGTCAGTAAAGTAGACAAAAAATCCTTATTTTTCTTTGAACTCCCCCAATCAAAAAAAAAATCCTCCAATTCTCAAAGGAGAATAGAAGAAATCATACTTTTATAGAATATCTTAATTGAANACTCCAATTCTCAAAGGGGAATAGAAGAAATCATAATTTTATAGAATATCTTAAATGAATGATTTAGTCTAGCTATGGCTATATCACCAATAACACATAAACTTCATCTGCAAGCCCAATTAAGTCGTAAAACTCATAAACTTCACCTGCAAGCCCAATTAAGTCGTGACTCAAACTTTAGACCTTTGAAGCCCATTTATGTCCAACACGTTCTCCATTGTTGGCTCTGCGAGTCAAAAACACGCCTTCAGCTTAAGCTCCAGCAAAAACCCCTGCTAGGGTTTTGAGCGAGATAAGAAAAGAACCAAAGAGCGCCAAAAAATTTTCTGAGCAGATTCAACCAGCGGCAGCCATGGCGAGCACGAAAGTCCAGCGGATTATGACCCAGCCCATTAACCTGATCTTCAGGTTTCTTCAGAGCAAAGCTCGAATTCAGATATGGCTTTTCGAGCAGAAGGATCTGAGGATCGAAGGCCGGATAATTGGATTCGACGAGTACATGAATTTGGTTCTGGATGATGCCGAGGAGGTCAACGTAAAGAAGAACAGCAGAAAACAGCTCGGGAGGATTTTGTTGAAAGGGGACAATATATCTCTGATGATGAATACTGGCAAGTAATGCTGAAAAAAGAGGTACTTGAGATAAAAAAAAAATGCAGTCCTTTTGTTCCCTTTGATTTGCGTTCTTTGAGAGATTTTCTGATTTCTGTGTTTCTTGAATGTTAATTTTATGTGGGTTATGCTGGTTCTAACTCTGGGGTTTTTGGATAGCATGTATTAGTTTTCGATGAATTGTCTCGATAAAGTTATTTGATATGATTTGTGCTGGCGGGTAAGAGCTATTTGATGAATTACATGAACGGGATATTACTTGGTATGGTTTATGCTGTTTTTGGCTGTCTTTGACTGATGTACGAAGTGTTAGATGAGAATTCTCTTTCTCATCTGAGGGAATGTGAATACTAATTCTATGCTGACAGCAACTAAGCTTTTAAGAGATGATTGGGTAGTTTCACTATTTTGATCTTAGCTAAAAATTGGTTGCTGTGAGAGTACATATAGCACAGATAATCTTTGCTGCAATTGGAGTATATAAAGTAGAGTGGTTTTAATCATTTTGTTATAGTGGTTTTATTTAAAGCAGCGATTTACAATTATTGTTTAGCCGTTGGCTTTCTGGGAATTTGGGTTTTCTCCTCGAGTGTTTCAACAAGGAGGAATCACTCTCTTTAACTTGTGTATGAGATGTTTTCTTTATACATTTCTCTCCTTTTTCTTTTTTTCCTTTTTTTTTTTTCCTTTTTTTTTTTTCTAATTTTTTCAGCTCTTGTGGTTTTTCTAAGTTTATTACATAAGATTCATATTGATTATGAATATGTGCCTTGCGTAAAACATCCATGCTTTCCTTGTCTCTCTAATGGTTATGTTGATGCTGTGGAGTTAAGCTTCATTATTACATTTACAGGCAGTTAGGTAAAAATGACTGAATCTTGAAGAGGCTTTTCTGGTGTGATTCGGTTCGCTTGAAATGGTGGCATGACCTCATACATTCAACTCTTTGTTTCGGAACTACTCTCTTATTGGTTGCTGTATTTTATCGTTTTTAATGTTATATCTCACTTTATTCTACTTTGATATGTATGTTAGTTTTATGTACCTAAGAATTACTACTACTTTGTATTTGGATATCTGAAAAATTAGGCACTTTGATGTGGCTGTCACAGGCTGTTGACTGCATTATGCTTTGTTTTGTTACCTTTGTTTAATCAGAAGTACATATTCATGTGAGGATTTTTCTTAAGTTTGTTCTGCAGGTTTAAAATGGGTTATTGGTCGTCGAGCTTGTGACTCGAGTGGCAATGTGCAGCTTGTAACTTAAGTTGTTTACATGATAACAGAAGTAATTATGAAAAGAATGCCCTGAATATATCAGGTGGTTTCTTTTAACCTTACATGTTAACCTTTTCTTTTTGCATACCTTCATATATTCATTAGTTGAAAGGAAATTGCTTGCAAGACAATCTGTGTACTGAATGTGGTGGTTTATGAAGTTGAATTTATAGAGAAGTTGTGTTTGGCTACTTATATTTCACTTGGGACCTTAAAATGGGATGTAAAATGATATTATTGCCCTAAAAACTGTGCTAAAAACAAAGAAGCAGAATCATACTTCTCTTCATTACCATTCTAAACTCGTTATCTTGCCTTTCTTAATTTCTAATCTGACTCATTTCAAATTTTAGCAGGCATTTTAGTGTTCCTTTAGTACTAATAATATCACCCAACAAATTCATATTCATACATTTGTAATTTACATGCATAATGTAGCTGGACATTGATAATCACAGAATTTCACAATTAATGACTTCAAAAACCAAATATAATCATTGTATTATATCATTTANAAAAAAAAAAAAAAAATATGCATTACATAACTCACTCTCTCCATATCACTCCATGAACACTCAATCAATCAATGGATTATACCTATATGTATTCAATCACACACAATTGCAATGATCCCAAATCATTAAAACAGAATAGCAAAGCAGCAAAATAAAATTGGAGAAAAAATAAGAGTATAATAAACTGGAAGCTGAAAGCCACTTCCTGCATCCATCGCCGGCAAAGGCGCCATCGCAGAATCTTGGCCGGCAGTAGTCGACAAAAATAAAATCATAATGGCCAAGAAAACATACATGAAAGTAGACTTATTTAAATGGGCCATATTAGTATAATGAAATACAATAATATTACAAAGAATAGTAAATGATTTAAGGAATTTGTAGCATAAAATAGTATGTAATGTCCCAGTTTATATAATGGTCTATAAATCCTTATCAAAGTTCCCAATTTATTTTATTTTTATTTAGTTTGTTTTTTTTTTTTTTCTCCCATATATTTTGCCTTTTGTGTTAAGGTTTGTGGGANGTAACTATATAACATTGTATTATATTTAAAAAAAAAATCAGGTCAGAATATGTTGAGAGGCCAGAGGCAGAGGGGCAGAAGCTCTAGATACCTTGTGCCTGTCAAGACAGGACTATTTTCCTAAATTTCCATCTTAGCAAATTTGGTGGTACCTAACTCATTATGTTCATTACGATGTTAATAGTTCATCTTGGATAATCAATCACCCAAATTTTCAATTACATCATTATTCACACATTTCATGTAAAATAACAATAATTTGGGTGTGTGTGGATTTTAAAAATATATCTGGAATGATAGAAAGTGATTTGGCACGGAAATGGTTATAATTAATATTGAACACTAGTTTCAATCCATATCGGCCTGTAAAAGTACAAGTTGAAATGGTTACTCAAGAATAATGAAATGACCTAATCTTTAGATGAACCAATGAATCATGTTTTCTATGATAAACTTACATACTTATAATCCAAATGTCATGATTATTTAATAGAATAATAAATTGGTTTGTGTATTAGATTAATCATATTTCTTAAATAAAATTACATGTTAATAATTTCAAATGTCATACTATTTTGTTATTATAATAAGTTGTTTCTTAGTGTATTACAACAGCCTTACAAGCATGGTGTGTTCATTTGTAAGTTCAAACTATACTAAACCATATTTCTCTTTTTTTAAGTACAAACTAACACTAAACATTTCACAGCAACCATTTTCACAACAATTCTGATCAAATATTCAAATTCACAAACAAAGATGTTTCAGCAACCATTAAATACATGGTCCGAAAAGCAGATGATTCGGGTTCTTAAAGAAAGCAGAGTAAGAAAGTGAAAAGGACCACAATATGATGGGTGGGTTACTTCTGTTTGGAAGCTCTTCGGCTTTCAAGTTTTTTACGAGCAACTTCGAATTCTTCTTCGCTCGGCTCTGGAGCAGATTCACATCCACCGTATTTATGAACAAGAGTGGAGAACATTGTGTCAATCTTTCCTTTCCTCTCGTTTTGCCTTTGAGCTATTATTGCATACAAGTCTTTTGAATTTTTTTGTGATCTGCAAAGGATTGTTAGATAAACATTAAAACTTATGGGCCTTTATTCGGAACTGTAAAACTTAGTGAAAATTTAACAGAAAACACGACTCACTTCTTTCTCTGTCTCAATGGGCTTGTAGGAGGCTTCGTTTTGGACACTTTCTTGGCCCATTTCTCATATGCTTTGGTTGACTTCAACTTACCTACAAGCAGACGCACCATGAGTAGGGAAAAAAAGTGAAATACAGTCAAATATGATACATAACATTAGCTTCAGCTTCAAATTTTAACTCCGCTAAAACTGATAAGAAATTGTGCATGATAGAAAATGATAGAGAAGGTTGAGAAATCGTCTTTAGTTACATAGAATCTCAATTTAGAAAATCCAAAAATGTGGATAACACCTAACATAGAAGAAAGAGGGTGTTTTCCTTGTAAAATAACCTTCAGAAATGGCCTCATCAATCATATCCTTGAAGCGGTGGGAATCTAGCATTGTATCAGAGCAAATCATGCAACAGAAAAGCCTGAAAAACAAACTCATTTAGTCCACGAGCAGGCAAGTGCAAAATCGGATACAGAGAAAAAAAAAAAATCCTCAAGAGATACTTCTCCATGTTGCCCTTCAATTTAATGTACAGCTCAATCAAATCTTTTCTCTCTGAATCAGAGCCTCTGTAATTTGCCTCAAACTCTTCAATATCAGCTTCTGTGACCTGTAAGTGATTTCTAAGTACTTCATAATGCTGAGTGGCACACAATCGATAATAAAGAAAACAGTTGAGTAAGTAGGTAACCTTTTTATACATGGCCCGGAAAAATGTGCACAAGTTCTGGATGACATCTCCTGCTAGATCCTGTTAATAATTGAAGAAATATGAGTATGCAGAGGATGAGTGGACATCCCCCCTAGACTCTATCCTCAGCAGAGCATGCAACACAGCTAAATGCTAATAATAATTTCAATCAGTCTTAACCAAATCAAGTTTTATGCAATGAAGTGAGGTTAATGTTATTTGATTAACTTGGCATTAAAAATGGGAAGCAAATTCAACAAACTAGAAGTCTGAACAAGTATTTACAAATACAAATCATCATATAGGAGTTTGCAGAACCCGAATAGCAAGAATAATTTTGAGGAAGGATACCATAGATCAACATTTCGGACACCTGATACCATAGGGACCGTGATAATCAAGTTCAATTGGCCCAATACACTTAAGTTCTATACAACAACAATTCTAATTCAAAATCTTAGCATACAATTGCAGTAAAAACAGGGGGCATCACGACTTACAGCATCATCAACACATCCCGTCTGATCATATACTGCTCGTTTCTCCTCATCGCCAAGAATAGATATAACCTTTTGTAGCTGCTGAAATTTTTCCTTAGCTTCCTATATAGTGAAACTGAATGATCAAAATATTGAACCCAACCAAAGTTTGTTATGTAGAAAACCAAAAAGAACACATGTAACTAAAAAAAAATTACCTCGTCCCCGGGATTTTTATCAGGATGCAAACGCAAAGCCAACTTGTAGTAAGCTTTCTTTATCTCAGGCTGAGATACAGTTTTCTCCACCCCAAGGATCTAAATATCACATATGCATTTACTTACTGCTTTCAGATCAATTAACAAGATTACACACCAAAGATGAATATACAAACACGTGGTTCTTCTTTCACATAGTTAACAAAGCCTATAACGGGTCAAATGGCACTTCACAAAGAACAGGTTCCATTCAAGTAAGGCTTTCTTCTTAAATACACCAATCAGTTGTTCATACAGTCCAGCATCAAATCTCTTGTGAAATTTTATCCCATTTTCATCTACCAACTCAGATAAGAAACGAATCATTTTTAAATGCGCAGATTACCTCAGAACCCAGTAACTCAAATCTATCAATTATTCATACAATCCAACATCAAATCTCCTCTGAAACTTTAGCCCACTTTCATCAAACGACTCAGATAAGAAGCCAATCATTTCAACGCACAGAATTTTCAGCACAAACGTTTAAACAGTAAGAAAAAGCGTTCAAATCAAATTCTCCCAACGGTACACCGCATATAACTCCTCATGTCAGCGAAGAAAACCAAACCTCATACAAGCTTTTTCCGTTTGAGGAAGAAGATCCGTCGACAAATTCTCGATCTTCCTCCATTTCAGCTTCTTCTTCGCTCTCGACGTGTTCCTCTGGAACCCTAGTTCTGCTTCTCTTCCCCATGGCGTAATCAAAATTCTGGAGAAACGTATGATTCCTACTGCCCAGAAAAAAAAAGGGAGGGAAAAGAAAAAGAGAAATTGGCTATGGAGTTGAGCTTACAAGTTACAGTAACCTTTGGTATTGGGAGGGGTTGCGTTGCGATTTTGGGAGCGATTTTTTTCCCGCCAATTGGCGCCTAATTTTGGGGGTTCTCTCTACATTTGCAACAATAAAGCCCACTGGTCGGCCCATATTTATCTATACATATTCAGTAGCCCAATCATAAATGAGCTGAGCAATAAAATTCGAGCTTATGATACTTGGTGTTCAAGTATACGTACTTGTTGAGTGGATAAGTTAACAAGCTGGAGTTCAGATCGTCATTGAACCTTAATGAGTTAAATTCTGCTAAAAATTTATAAAATTATATAAAAAATTAGAGATACTATTTATGATATGCTATTTTATTTAATTGATTTTATTAAATGTACTACAGTTGAAGATACTGGAAGGTCGAGTTGGCCAAAATACTTCGCAAAATGGTTCGTGCATGTTTATTGCCAGAAGCAACAAGATAAAATTGGTAGGGATGTTTTTGCGGTTAGATCGGAGTTTGTACCCCTTTGATCACGTGTAAAGTTTTTAGATTTTTAATATATTTGTCGTTTAAAAAAAATTAAGAAAAATGTGTTACTTATACTCTAAAATGTGATATTTGTTGTATTTGCAAATGTGGGTCATGAAAACTATTTGTATTGGTTAGTTGGTTTTCCCAAAATGTGGACCACCAGCTAAAATTACTTGATACCTCATAGGGTTGAATTTAACACGAAGTCCAATTTATTGTTATTTGTAATTTTTTTATGTTATTCGTGGACTGATTCGAATTTTTATGATGTTGAGTGATTGAATTGAATCTATATTCTTTGACTGTTCAAAGAATTGATTGGTCCTTGTGCCGAGTTTTGCTGAAATTAATCGATTTTATCACTGTTTGACCATGTGGTGGTAACATCTTCTCTATTTTATGTTGATGAAGCATATAGATAAAAAATTAAAAGTATGCTTATGGGAATGAGAAAATTCAATTCTTATAGTTGTTACATTAAATTTGAAAATTATTAAAATACCTCTCAAAATACGCAACATGGATTTAACAGTTAGTCAATTATATTTTCAAAATAGAATGTTATATTCTAAAATACAAAAAATACGCCACTTCATAATATAAATATATATTTTTATTTTAAAATAATGTATATTCAATCGACTCAACTAACAATTAAAACGTCTCGTACAAAATTTTGCATACTACAAATTGCTTCACATAGCAAATCCTATATATATATATATATATATATATATATATATACATATATACTATATATGCATTAGTACACTAGGGACACGTTTGTTTGCTCGGACTAAATTGAACTTTTTTTATCTTACATTCCAAGATTGCACTGTTGAGATCATTTGTCATATATGTTTGTTAGGAAAGACTGCTCAAGATAAGATTTTCTTTACTTTTTGTGTTCTACATTTGTTTCCCTAGATAAGATATATGATAAAAGTCACAAATTACTAATTTATCCCTTAAACTTTATCCAATTTACTTGTGGATGGGAACAAATCGTTCACCATCAAATTAATCTGCAAAAAAATCAGAAAAACGAAGGTTTAATTGATCAGCAATAACAAATCTCAAACAATAACAATAACAATTCATAAATACATCGAGTAACAAAACTCAAACAATAACAATAAAATACATCAAATTTCCATCAAATTGGAAGCTCTCTCCACCCCGAAGGTTTAATTGATCAGCATAAAGGGGGATGAAATTCATAAA